CCCTTATATTTTCCAAGGCACGAAGAATCCAGCAGGAGAGGAGTTACAGATGGAAGAGTGGTTCTTCAGCCAAGGAGCGGAGCAAAGGTGTGAGCAGCTGGAGAGGGCAGTGCGGAGCCTGGCTGTTAAGAAGAGGCTTGGAAGTCCCGTCCCCCCCCCCCTCCCTCCCCCGTCGGTGAATGTCTATCCAGTACACTGTGGAATGTGACAGTTACTCTGACAATACAGCAAACTTGAGAAGCTCCTTTTTGTGCTCATTTTGTCTCTGATGGGCTGTGTATAGTCTGGAGTCCCCACAGAGGCAGTGGTTCGTGACTGCTTGACCTGGTCATTCTGCTAAGCAATCGGTGGAATTATGGCCTGTTAAACCTTAAGCTCATCTCCTCAAACTCTAGAGGTCTGACTTCCAAAATAGTTTAATGTCCTGTTTCCAAGGTCTGTCTGAGGAAGGACTTGAGGTTGTAAAGGTTGGTTTGAGGGAAACCGCGCATCAGAGCTGAACATATTACCACTCTGTTACCTTTGCACAAACCTCTGGATAGTGCTTATTGCCTTGGGAGGAAGAGGAAATCTCTTCCTCATAGACATTTCAATTCCCAGATGAGGTGTTTGCCTCTAAGCCAGATGGATTACATTTATGGGACTACTGGGCAAATGGGGTCATCTGAAAGGAACTTCTTCGGGGTCAGTACCTGTAGTGCCTGGGGGAGAGTTCCACTGGGAGTTGAGAACTCCTGGATCGACCTTCTCCAGGCACAATCTACCACCCATTTTTTTTTTTTTTTTGTCAGTTGTGGGGCTTGAACTCTGGGTCTGCGGCTGTCCCTGAGCTCTTTTGCTCAAGGCGAGCGCTCTACCACGTTTAACCACAGCTCCACTTCTGGTTTTTGTGTGGTTAATTGGAGACGAGTCTCACAAGGACTTTTCTGCCAGGGCTGGCTTTGAACTGCGATCCTTAGATTTCAGCCCCCTCAGTAGGATTACAGGCATGAACCACCGGTGCTGGCTGGCTGGGCTTTTTTGATAAAGGCTAGCACTCTACTGCTTGAGCTACAGCTCTACTTCTGGATTTTTGTTGGTCATGGGGCTTGAACTCTGGGCCTGGGCGCTGTCCCTCAGCTCTTCAGCTCAAAGCTAGCGCTCTACCACTTGAACAATAGTGCCACTTCCTACTTCTGGATTTTTGTAGGTTGACTATAGTCTCATGGAGCAGGTACCGGTGGCTCAGGCCTGTAATCTTAGCTACTTATGAGGCTGAGATCTGAGAATCACCATTCAAAGCCAGCCCAGGCAGGACATGCTGAGAGACTATCTCCAGCTAACCACTAGAAGGCCAGAAGTGCACTGTGGCTCAACGCGTAGTGCATTAGCCTTTCCTGACCAGGCTGGCTCCAAACTGCGATCCTCAGATCTCAGCCTCCTCAAATAGCTAGGATTACAGGCGTGAGACACCAGCACCCAGCTTTACTTTGTCATCCTCAGAGTACTGGGTTATAGTATTGCAGCGCTGCCTGGGATTCAATTTTATTCTCTTCATATTCGGAAGGCTTAGCACGGCTAGGTTTATTTGGATGTTAGCACACGTTAGTTGTACAGGGGAGCACTGTGGAATTGCCACGTGTGTGTACTTTACCCCGATGCACCCCTCCCCCTCCCTCAAGTTCAGTAGGTTTCCTGGCTCTGCTTTCATGATGCGAATAAATCGTTCTGACCACACTCACCTGCCACGCCACCTCCTGCGGAGTCTGCGTGAGAGATCGCATTAGACAGAGCTTCAAGGAAGCATGCCTGCAGGAAGGGGGTGTTGGTTCAAGGCTTCCCATACACTTGGCTGCACCTTTATAGCCTCTACCTTTATTCTTTTTTTTTTTTTTTTGGGGGTCCGGTCGTGGGGCCTGAACTCTGGGCCTGGGCGCTGTCCCTCAGCTCTACCTTTATTCTTACTATATTCTTCTTGGCTGTACATTCGTTGCCCTTATTCTCGTTTTGGCTATTTTTCTATTGATCTGCGAACAGAGCATGTTGTATTTTTCCAGTCCAATAGAGACGGCTTCTCTAAGTAATAAAGACTAAGACCAAAGATTAAGTGTGGGCAATGCCCCAATCAATCATCTGATGTGATGCTGCCTCCAGAAACTCCTACAACTTCACAAGCGGTTTTGCAGCTCACGCATAGTAAATATAGAGACTTAAAATTTCCAGATATGTCCAACAGACAAAACCAATGAATTAAACTAAGTTAGAAAGAGTTATCCCAGTAGTTCAGAGAGTTCTAAAAAAAAAGGGACCTCGGATTATAAAAGATTCTCCCAACAGTTATGATTAAGTTTAGTCCAACTTACGTTATAGGGAATAGATGGTGGTTTCACACAAAATATAAAGTTAGTAATGTATTTCCTGAACCAACTGAAGAACCATTTCCTTATACAGGAGCTTATAAAGATGAAAATAATTGGATAAAAATAAAAAGAGTACAATATAAGTACAGCCCTGTCTTAGGTTTGTTAATTATTAAACACAAAAAGGCTGAATAGATGATGTATTCTATTAAACAATATGCTAGACTTGTTTCGCACCGCTTAGCTTAAACAGTTGGTGGGATAGTCATCAATTTTCATGTAATTCATCAATGCTTCGCCTTTTTAAAAAATTGATTACGTGGGCTGGGAAGGTGGCTCAGTGGTAGAGCACTTGCCTTGCATGCCTGAGGCCCTGGGTTCGATTCCTCAGCACCACATAAGCAAAAAGAAAAAAACTGGAAGTGGCGCTGTGGCTCA